GTTCTTTTATGCGCTTAATATTAGTGAACGTGACGAGGAAAACATTTTGAACGTGGAAAGTGCTCTGTTTGGTCTAAAACGTAAAGTTTCGACAAACCAGTTGTCCATTAAAGACGTTTTTGGTAAAAAGAAGTAACTTTGAAAGAGAAACATTGTTTTTTTAAAATTTTTAATGCTTTCCCGCATCTATCGTTTTCCCGCATTCATCGTTTTTATTTCCCACCCCCGCCGAAAACGATGCATCGAGGTTTCACTGTATCAGTTGATAAGGAATCATCACTGAAATTTATTTATCTGTAGCTTGTTTAATAATTGTGTAAGGTGACGAGAGAGATGGTAATGGAAGCATCGTGTCATGTTTCAAGATACTGCAATTACGTTTCTTTATTATGAAAAGTCTTCTTTGAGAAAACCAATCCAATTATTTTCAACATACAAGACAACTGACTACATAATCGCAACATTAATATTTTCTCACATACAACATCTATGACTCTGAATTTGAAATATGTTGGTTGAAGTCCACGTACATGTTTCAGAATATAGAATACCCCAAAATCTTGGACTTGAACTGAATAGAAGTTAAAGCTTGTTTTAATATATATATTGTGTATAAGTGTTTATATATTTTATTTCTTCTTTAGTTATAAATGTTATTGTACTTAAGATTATTTTTGTTTTGTTATTTCCATTGTGACGTACGGCTTTCAGAGATACTGTGACATTCTGCGGACATACAAAACTGGAAAAGAGCTTGCCACATCATCGCTTCTCTTCAAGAAACCGTACTTGGATCTGATGGAAGCAGAAGATGTGCTGTCCAAGGAAGGACACTTGCCATCAGCAGCAAGAGATATGAACGCTGATCCAGAGGACGGCGACCCGGACGATGATGAGCTGGATGCAGTGGAAGATCTGGAGGAACATCCAAGTAATGTAAACCAGCAGACTGCCATTGCACGAGCAGCAACAAGAATAGCCCTCTACATGATGCGGGAAGAACTTGGAGAATCTGACAGATTAGGAGTGAAACAACATGCTCATGATTTTTTTGTTGTCAACTCATGCAAAGTGTATTGTAAGGTGAAGGTTTCTGCTTCCAGTGACACAAATATGAATGGCATTTCAGAAGTAGAGAACACTGCATCTACTGAAAGTGTGGACAATCAAGGTCACTTAAAAATGGATGTAATTCAGAGGAAAGTAAGCTCTGACAAGTGGTGTGAAGGGATTCAAAGTGGAGCTGTTTTAAGCGGAGAAGCATGCTGCAGTAAACAGCAAGCAGATGTGGCAGGTAGAAACCAAGGTGATATCAGTTCTCCAAGCAGTCAGTCCGTCGAGAAAGAAACAGTAGATGTTATGGGTACAGATGAAACTAATCGGGACAAATGGGGAACGGTACAAAACAGTGAAGCCGATCAAGGTGGAAAGCATGTCTCAGATCAGAGCCATGCTTCTGCAACTGAAATTAAACGCACTGGCAGTCATGCTTCAGCCTCACAGGGGCTTGATGCCTTGATGCCGATAACACGCAAAGATGCGATGAAGGTGTTGGAAGAAATCAACCGGTGAGTGTACTTTTTTACAATAAGCAAAGTAAATTTTTACTGTATTTGCCCTAATGTAATGCAGTTTATAGATTATGGGTTATGATTCCATGTGGGTGGTTAGCAGTGTTTTTGGGGAACCTGCTGCCTTCATATTTGTTGTTTCCTATTAGCCTGGACATGGCTGCATTTCCTCTCATTTGTCAGTCCACAACCTAAATTTATCCGTTGTTGTACTTGAGTTGTCGTAAGAATTGAGATAGAAGTCATTTTGAAACAAATCATTTTGGAGAATGTGCTGATGGTGAGGTAGGGACTGTTGGATAATGAGGAGGTACACAGTTTGTGATTTTCACTTAATATTTGCTCGGAAGATTGCTTAGGGAAGGTTCGCATTGGCTGCACATGTGGCTCACATGACAGAAATAAAAAAGTATACAATGTTTTGGTTTGAAAATCTCATGGGAAGAGAAAACTTGTGAATTAAAATGGACATAACAGAGAATGGTTTTGAAAATCTGAAATGTGTTAAACTGGTTTAGAATAACTTTTGATGGCAGCTTATGAGGGCATGGTGATCAACACTTGGGTTCCATAAAGTCAGAGAATATTTCGATCAACTGAATGTCCTGTGTTTTGTGTAATTGACTTACAAGACATTGTTCCACAGCAATTTGTTGGTGTCAGATGAACACATAACAGAGAAGGATGTCGAAGAGTTGTTCTTTTCGTCTGGGGCAACAGATTTAGACTGGGAGAAAGCTAAAGCTGTATTGACCTTTGTTATGGAGAGGAAAGAGATTGGAGCTACTATGAAGGAGTTAAGGGTGAGGTTGCATAATTATCATTACTGTGTGTTTTTTAACATAGTTTGGTCTGTGTGTTTGTTGTTTGCTACTGCAGCCTGTCATTTGACTTTGATTTTTATTATTTTTTTAAAATTATGTTTAAACTTGTATTTATAAATAAAGTGCCTGGGTGTATGTCGTTAGGCTAGTAAGAACTTTTAATAACACAGTTTGTAGTTAACTTTTTGCGCATCTGTATTACATTTATTAGATGCAGCCTCAAACTTCCCCACTGCAACAATTAGCAATAACTGATTTGTATTAATAAGTTAATTAATATGTCATTGTTGTATTATTCCTTTTTTTAAAATGCACTAATTTTTGCAATAGATTTTTTAACTTAATTTTTGTTTAAATCAGATAGACTCTATTTAATCTGCCCCCAGATTGGAGTCTATTGTGTCTTCATACACAGCTTTAAATAATGATTATAGTGAAATCCCCATTTTAGGTTTGCCTGGGGAACAAGCATTTTGTACCTTAAATTGAGAAAAACCTTAAATGGGGTTTACTTCAAAATGAAACAGAATACTAAACTAGTGGAGAAACAGTGAGGAATTATACAGGCAGTGGCGTGACGGAATCTGTGTGGCTAGTAGTGGCACAGCAGTGTGCACACTGCTGTGTTTGATGCCAGTGAAGTTTTTGTGTGCAGTTCAGAGATAGAAAAGGAAAACTAGTAGAAGGACAAATATTTCCAGTGATACTATTTTAGTGTTTTCTGTTGTAGTAAACGGATAATTAATTGACTGCAATTGTCTTTGTAATTGCAACAGTATTAGTGCACAATAAATCCATGTTGAGCGAACCCACAATATGATCTGGGATTACATCACACTGTCTTATAAAATAATAAAATTAGACTAAAAATACAATTATATGAAATATAAATAATGATATTTTTCTTGCAGAAGAATTCTCCAGAGCCTGAATCTCAAATGTCATTGGCTAAGGCCCCTTGCATTATGAACCAAGTCCTGTTCATTGTACCATTCATGCGTGACAGTATCTTAAATAATTTGTCTTAAGCGATGTGTTGGGTGGAAGTGGGTTGAGTTATAATATGTCCCTTGCAGCACAGATGTAAGGAATTTCTATGTCATCAACAATGTTTATGCAGAAATGAAAGTATCTACATTTTCTGTTCCAGAAAAATTTCTGTAAGCCCAAATCTTTGATGTCATTGGCTGAGGTCCTGGCATTATTGACCAAGTCCCAGGCATTGTATCGTTCAGGTGTGACAACTGTGCATTACATATATCACATGTTCATGAAACCATGGCTGGTCCATTCGTACAAACTGTTGCGACTGGAACGTGAGAAACAGCCGGTCGCCCCACAGCTCGCCATGATGAAGATGGCTGCTCAAGACAGCCAGGATTGTCCTGAGAAGCAGTCTGAGAAGACGCATGAGAGGATACGCACTTGGAGACGTCGAAAATTGTTTGCTGCCGCTCGGGAAGTTGAACGAGCTGTGCAGACCCTGCATTTAAGGTAAAGGAGGAGGAGTGTATAAAATGAATAAGATGTATTTCTGTGTGTTTGCCTGTCTACATTTTGCATCTTCAAAACTACTTTTGTGTTCTTATGATGACATTCGGTGTGAGTCGTTCATTGAATTTAATTTAAGATTATATTGGTCCATTATGATTTAACTTGGCATGAAACTGAAAATTAACTTTGATTTTCTAAAAAAAAAATTGTACATGGAATATTTCAGTAAGACCTATGAGTTTTATTTTAAGCAGTTACTGATGTTGTGGGAACTAAACAGATTACAAGGAAAAATCATTTCTGACTTCAGTTCTGTTGGGTTTTGTTTAATATTAGCAAACTGTTATTATTTGTTTGAGAGGCAGATG